TGTGTCTAGACTACACGCCGAGGGTCTATGGACCATACATTGGGAACCACTGGTCTATGTGGTCCCCCCTTCAGATGTGCTGGGGTGTCACAGAAAAGGGTGGGACCGGGGAGGGAAGTGAAAGGCGGGAGGGCTCAGCCTGGCACTAGTGTGTTATGGGGAGGTGATGCCGGGAGCCAGCAGAGCCGGGCAGGCTGGGCTGGTTACTCAGGGTCCCCTGAAGGGTGGGGCTTGGAGGAGTCACCCCAATTCGCTGGACCCCAGGGAAGGCTTAGTCTGCACAGCACTGCCCACCTTCCTGCTTCTCTGCCTTTGCTTCCTGTTGGGGGTGCTGCAGAATCTCCCTCCCCCCCAGCCCTGAAGGGGTGTGTGCAGGGGTGCAACTGTCCAGGGCACTGGCAATTCAGAAGAGCCTGGTGTTCCCAGCTGTGGCCACCGTTACTGTGGCAACAGCAGGAGATAGAGCCCCAGGCCTTGTAAATCCCCTTCAGAGCAGTGAACATCATGCTCCAGGTGGCACTAAGGGCTAGCTGGGAATGGGCTGTGGTGTGGCCCAACCCCGCTTTTTCCAACTGAGGCCCCGCCCCTTCCAGGAGGGCGGAGCCAGGCCTCTCTACCTTTCTTGGGGCCCATAGAGGCTGAAATCCCCCCTTCTGCAGGGGGTCAGAGTTAAGGGTATTGCGAAACCACAGGCATTTTTCTGCAGTTGGTAACAGCAACATCTTCATGAGGTGGGCAAGCTACGATCCGCCAGGTCGTTAATTATGTATTTCCTACTCTGGTGGGCTGGAACAGATGCACATGCTGCGGGGGCTTAGCTGGTTTCAGTGGCATTGAAGACAAAAGGAAAATCAATGCGGGGGTCTCTGGGCTGTTTGGCTCCCAGGTTTCTCACTTCTAGCCTCATGCAGGCTCAATGACAGTGGTGGGAGAAAGGGAGGTCCAGACCCCTTGTGGGGGTGCAGGGGAGAGGAATGGGGGCTCCGCTGTGGGGGGCGGGGACATTGAAGGGCACCCAAA